AGCTACATCGTTTCGTTCGTTCCAACATGGGCCGGCGAGGTTTCATAGGTTTTAGGTTTAATGTTCTCATTTCTTTAGTCAAACATAGTCTTGGATGAGAAGAAAGGTCAAAATACCCTTAGATTACACGACCTCTTGATGAAAATACTAACGGTGGAACTAAAAGTGGAACATATTCAATAATAATGGTTATAAAATGACAAAAAAAATTAAGGTGGAATAAAATTAGAAACGCCCCTATAACAGGACCAAAAATGGAATTCACTCTTAAAAACTTTTTTTGCTCAAATGCAAATATAACATCCTACCACTGCCACTATATGTGGTATAACAAGTCATAATGTGGACATACATAGAGAGCAAGCAAAACAAAAAATATGCGTTTTTTCGATCCATATATGCCGAGAATTTAGTGGATTTCGTTGCAACTTACTTTTTCGATCGATCCCAAATATTATAGACTTTAAAGTTTCAATACGTATAAAATTAACCCATATTTTTTACTAAAACCTTCAACATAATGAATAAAATTAATCCTCACTTTTTTAGAGTATTGGCATTTAAAGTCAACTCCATATATAATTCATGAGATCTATCTCAACTCTCATCCTCTCTGCTATACTCATTTCATTTCTGCTCTCTCAATAACTCTCATCTCATCTCATCTGAGTTTCAATTCAGAAACACCTGAGATTAGTTCAAGTTGGCATAAACTCAACAACTCAGACATAGACACATTAGAGTTTAAACTTTAGGGACACATGGTAAATAAATATTAAAAAAAATGGCGGAGTTTGGCGGGGCCTGCGGTCCTAAGGACGGTAGAGCGGGCTGCCCCTACCGGCAATTTATATCCTACACCACGGCGCGCGTTGCATTTTCCGCCCAGATGCAAAACGACGTCGTTTCAATTTTTTTTTATTTTTTTTTTGAAATTTCCCGCGCCAGTGTTTGGCAGTTAATTTTTCTTTAAAAAAAACCCATGTTCAAAAATGTACATAATGTTATACATGAATGTATATAATTGTATACATGAATGTACATAATTGTACAACAAAATATACATACTGTTTTTTAAAATATAATACACATAATCTAACATAATACTCCGTACATAATAAACATAAACTTTTAACCTAATACACATCAACTCTTCATAATACACAAAAATTTCCTAATTCGGATGTACATAATTGTATAAAAAAAATGTACATAATTGTATTAAAAATGTACATAATTGTATGAACAAATATACATAATTGTATGAACAAATATACATAATCACAGCAACTTCCTACCGCGCGTCCGCGCCTCCCAAAACGACGTCGTTTTGGGAGGCGCGCGGCACACAGTACTACGCGCGCCGTGGTGTAGGATATAACGATTGGCGCCTACCTAGGCTTATATTAAAAACAGGTCTTTTAGCCCGCTCTGCCAAAAGACGGGCTTTAGCGGACTTTGACGAGACCCGCCCCGCTAACCCGCATTGACAGCTCTAAAAATGAATACTTAAATCCCATAAATAATTCAGACCGTATCCCATCTTTCATCATTGCTGTATGAAAAGTCAAATCCCATCAATAATTCAGACCTTATGTCATCATTATATTGCTGCTATACTCGTCTCATTTCTTGCTCAACAAATGCTCTGATCTGAGTTTCAGAAACACTACTTCATAATTTCAACAACAAACTCAGACCTTCAATCTCTTATCTGATATTACCCAAACCCAATTCGCTAACTCCATCTCGACCTTAGCATTTTCAAGGTATGTTTCATACTTTCTCTTGCTTGACTGAAGAATTCCTTTATTTACATTGATACAGTTTAGCATAACTCACTCACCATTATGTTTTCCCTCTCAATTCCTTTGCTTTTATAATAGATGTTTATTCAATATAAAGTTTATTAATTTTGACCTAGATTTTTAATTGTGTGTTCAGTGTTTATGAAAATTTTCTGTTGAATCACAAACTTCGCATTTTCTGTTGAATCACATGAAGTTTAGAAACTAGCTAGCTAGAAGATGCAATGATTTTGCTGAGGATACTTTATATAATTCAGCATATTAGATTTTAACCCATCTTGCATGCACCATCCATCTCTGTTGTAATCATTCCATTTATTGCTCAATAATTGAGACTAATAACTTTGATATGAGTTCCAGAAACACTTTAGAGAAGTTCATTCAATGGATTTTGATGCTGTAACCACTCTAATCGAAATAGTAGAACAAGACCTTGTGGAGCCAGAACTACTTTCGATTTTTTATGCCAGAGGAATGAAGGAGTTGCAGCTTCAAAGGATCGAGTTGCTGTCTATCAACCTCTGCTTCCTTCAAGCCTGTTTGGAGGACTGTAAGACAAAAATGAATGACGGGGACACCTGGGCTAAGATACTGTATGAAGAAGTCCGAGATAAAGTTGCTAAAATATATGAAAGTTACGAAATAGAATCTGAACTGAGCAATGTATATGCGGATGCTAACTGGGAAGGATATGGAGTTGAGGGATATGGAGCTGGGGCTTGTCAACATCTTAGTTGGTCCTTGTATGATATGGCAAGAAATTTTGAGGAAGTTGGGAAATGGATCCTGCACGAAATAAAAATAACTGCTTTAGAGCTGGTGGAACAGAACATCACGGGAGTCACGGTTTGGGATACATACCAAAATGCTTTAGAGCCTGAGAATAAAGTGATTGTAGGATTCCACAGTGATATAGAGACAATAATTAAACGGTTCTGTTATTCACACTTGATGAGATCAGTTTTCACCATTTGTAGGAATAGTAACATTGAACAATTCCCGAAATATGTTGAAGATCCAGAGCAGAAACTACAAGTTATCCCATTCATAGGGGAAGGAGGCATAGGAAAAACTACATTAGCCAAAAGAGTCTATGGACATCGAGCTACTATTGCTTGCTTTCAAATTCGAGCATCTGTAGTTGTGTCTCAGGTTCATAACCTCAAAGAGATGCTCATTGGTCTATTACGTTGTATTTCACCAATCACTAGTGAAATCTACGACATAGACGATGCTCAAATAGCTGAGCAATTATGCAGAAGTTTGATGGGCCAGAAGTATTTAATTTTTTTGGATGACATATGGACCACTGCTGCATGGGATGCTATCCAAGGATGTTTTCCAGAGAATTTTAACGGAAGCCATATCTTAGTAACTACTCGGTTCACAGAGGTCGCTGAATACTTAAGTGCAGATCCCTACCATGTGACGTATCAAACTTTAAAGGATCGTTGGGAATTACTTTCGAGGAAAGTGTTTGGGCAAAGCCAATGTGTTCCCAGGGAATATGAGTTAATTGGGGAACGCATTGTTCTTGGTTGCAGTGGATTACCGCTAGCAGTTGTTGTGATTGCTGGACTTTTGGCAACAGCAAAAGAGTCTCTAGAAATATGGAAAGAAGTTGCGGAAACTTTGGATAGAGTTGATACATATAATAATGACAAAAGAATTTCAAAAATACTTTCATTGAGCTACAACTACTTACCTAGTCACTTGAAACCTTGCTTTCATTATTTTGGTGTGTTTCCTGAAGACAATGTCATTCCTGTTAAGAGACTAATCAACTTATGGCTTGCGGAGGGATTTTTAATGCCACATAAAAATATGAGTTTGGAAGAAGTGGCAGAGAGTTACTTGGATGATCTCATTAATAGAAATCTAGTTCAAATTAATGAGCTGAGTATTGATGGCAAAGTTAAATCATGTAAGGTTCATGATCGAATGCATGAGGTTTGTGTGAGAGAAGCAATAAAGGGGAATGCTTTGTGCATTATCAATGACAATCATGCTCCAAAAGCTAGTCGTTGGTTAAGCTGTCAAACAAGTTATTGGCCAATCACTCAAGCGAGTTATGGGAACTACACTCCTGATAAAATCCATTCCATTCTCTGCTTTAGTAGAGATGTATACCATTCAAAATGTAGGTTTGTATACCCATGTTTGAAATTGCTAAGAGTATTGGATTTATCATTAGTTAAATGGTCACAATGCATGCCTAGTGAAATAACGAATTTGGTTCATTTGAGATACTTGGCTTTAAGTACCATTGGTTCTCTTTACAAGCTCCGATTTTGCAAGCTTAAAAAGTTGCAATCTCTCATACTTACTTCGTGGATCGAAAAATGTCCTTTGCAACTGCCATGTGATATTTTGGGTTTGCGGCATTTAAGGCATTTGCATGTTGACAAGAGATGTTCACAATATCTCCCTCGCTCAGTCAAAAAAAAATTTACAAACTCTTTATTGGTTGAAAGTTGCTAGCTACGATAGAAAACCAAACTTCAGAATGGTTCCAAACCTAAAGGAACTTGGGATTTACATTGAAGGCCAACTGGCGCCTAGCTATCTAGGGAGCCTTGTGTATTTACATCTACTTGAGAAGTTGAAGTTTGAAGTAGGAAGAGTCGAGCGCTTTTATCTTCCAATTGGTTTTCCGCCAAACCTTAAGAAGTTGACACTTCATTATACTTATCTCCCATGGAAAGAGATGGACACAATTGCCAAGTTGCCACACCTTGAGGTGCTTAAACTAAAAGATTTTGCGTTCTGTGGCTCAAAGTGGGAACCATCGAAGCAGGGCTTTCGGGAATTAAAGGCACTTCTCATTTCACGTTCAAATCTCAAATATTGGAATGCAAATTCTAATCATTTCCCAGTTTTGGAGCGCCTAGTCTTAAGATATTGTTGGGAATTAAAACAAGTTCCAATTAATTTTGCAAATATTGGAACACTGAAGTTGATTGTGTTAGAATGCTGTTATTCTTCTCTTGTGACTTCTGCAATGCAGATTTCCTCTGCAAAGAAGTTATTGCTTGAGGGAACGACAGATTGTCCACTTTATGTTCGTGAAGTTAGAACTAAGGTTTCTCTCTAATTCTTGTTCATTATTTCAAAATATTAGTTTACTGCCTTCTAATTCCATGTATTAATTTAATTATTTATTTTTGTACTCATTTTCAATTACTTTTCAAGCTTGAATTGCCAAATAATGAAAGCTTTGAAGAAGAAATTGTAGTAAACTCTGAAGAAGAAAATGTGGAAAGTGTGAAAAGCTTTGAAGAAGAAAGTGTGAAAAGCTCTGAAGAAGAAAGTGTGAAAAGCTCTGAAGAAGAAAGTGTGGGAAGCTCTAAAGAAGAATTCGTTGGAAGCTCGATGGTTTTTCTCTAATTCATTTTCATTATTTCAGAATATTAGTTTTCTACCTTCTAATTGCATGTATTAATTAATTAAATTATTTATTTTTGTACTCATTTTCAATTTCTTTTCAAGGTTGAATTGCCAAATAATGAAAGCTATGAAGAACAAAGTGTGGAAAGCTCTAAAGAAGAAAGAATGGGAAGGTATAAAGAATTAAGTGTTGGAAGCTCTGATCAAGAAAGGTTGAAAGCTCGGAAGAGAGTGATGAAAAATCTGAAGAAGAAGGTGTCGAAATCCCTGAATGCATTCAAAGATTTGAAGGCGAAAGTGTTAAGAAGAAAGTGAGTGAGGAATTTTTAAATTTTAGCTTATTATAAACATATGATCCAAAGCCAAGGTATGTATGTATATACCTATGAAACTATTATGAAACTAATGAGATTATTCTGATCTTTTGCAATTGTCTGTCTGTCTCTTTGATTGGGAATTTGTATAACCATGTTGATATTTTGAACAAAGATGTTTATCATCCCGCTTTCGGGAGAAAACAAACGAAAAGGATTTCTTGCAGTGAATTCTTCAAGTGCAGCTCAGAGGTGCACCAATATAAGATGATGTTGTATTTTTGATTTCCATTTTATCTGAACAATTAAGTTGTGTGTGTTATGATGTTTTTCTGTTCCAATGACATCATGTCTCAGTTGTAACAATCCACTGTTCAATTCAATATTTCTTTTACAACATATTGAAATGCTTAGCTTTTTGGTGCCAATGAAACCTGCATATATTCATGAATGACCTTGGGTGATTCTTAAACTCAGAGGTTCTCTCACCTATTGGCGTCATTGTACTAGCATTTCAGGATGGACTCTTCTTTTAGATCGACTTGAGTGCTTATCATAGTCGAGATTAACTTATTTAAAAGAGAAGACCAATATAAGACAATAACTAATAATTTGAATTTGAATATTGAAAAATAAAACTTAAATAATGCTGAATTGTGTTGTCTCAAGGACTATTTTACTGTCCAAAAGGTAGTTGTTACAACAACTAATTAAAAGTGACAAAGTATATAAAAGAAAGGCTTAAAGCCAAACTAGGAAACCTAAAATTACTTAATTAGTTAATTTTGCTCCAATAACCTCAACAAAACTATTAAATATCAACGGAGTAGTGTGAAAACTTGAAATTTATGTGATTTAAGCAATTAGTTAAAGGGGGAGGGCAATTTATTAGACTATTGGAAGGATAAATTAAAGAGATGTGGTAGTTTATATATATGGTGGCTAAGAGGGGAGAGTCTGTAGTTGCAACTTGTCAACAACTCCATCAAACCTTGCAAGTAGTAAAAGATTTTAAGCATGTTGAGGTGAAAATCTTGATGGAGAAAACAAATACCAATTCATGTTTATAATGCACATAATTCATGTTCATAATACACATACACATAAACACGATATAATGAACATGAATTCTATGTATTATGACCATGAATTCTATGTATTATATAGCTGAGGACACATAAACACTTAACATAATACACCGAATTCATGTTTATAATGCATAGAATTTTATGTGTATATGTATTATGAATATGAATTCTGTGCATTATGAACATGAATTATATACCTTATGTTGGAGATCTGGAAAGAAGAGAGGAAGATTGGAAGAAAGAAGGAAAAGATATTCTGTTTTTATTATTATTTCATAGAGATACAAGGCAAGAGTATTTATACAATGACCTTTTGCTAACTAATAAACGGAAAATAACAGACTGAAAGGAAAGGATACATTCAACAGTAATAACTAACATAACAGAATCTAAACAGATTTGTTTATGGCTTGACTGTTGTTTGACTCTTGCTGCTGTCCATTGATGAAAGCTGGTGTATCTCTTGAGATCCCCCCCGCAAGCTGGATTGTAGAGATTAAGCAATCCCAGCTTGGAGACATAGTTGTGGAATGTGGCTGGACAGTGAGCTTTTGTCAAAATATCTGCAAGCTGACTGCCAGAGGGAACATGAAAGAGCTTGATTATTCCTTTGTGAAGCTTTTCTCTAACCAAGTGGCAATCTATTTCGATATGTTTGGTTCTCTCATGAAAGACCTGGTTTTCAGAGATTGCAATTGCAGACTTACTGTCACAATAGATGGAAGCTGGTGCTTTCAAATGTAATCCAAATTCATTTAGCAAGTAAAGTAGCCACTGAACTTCACAAGTAGTTGCAGCTAGAGCTCTATATTCTGCTTCTGAGGAGGACCTGGATATTGTAGCTTGTTTCTTGGATTTCCAGGAAACTAGAGCATGGCCAAAGAAGATACAGAAGCCAGTAACAGACTTCCTTGAATCCACACAAGCACCCCAATCTGAGTCAGAGAAAGCCTTCAAGTGTAGATCAGAAGATGCTGGAAAGAAAAGGCCCTGTCCAGGAGCATTTTTAACATATCTCAAGACTCTGTGTGCAGCTTGTAGGTGTAGATGTGTAGGTTTGTCCAAGAACTGGGACAATTGTTGTGTAGCAAAGCTTATGTCAGGCCTTGTAATTGTTAAATACAACAATTTTCCAACAAGTCTTCTGTATTGAGTATTGTTATCAAGAATATCACCTTCATCTTTACTCAGTTTGTGTGTAGGAACAGTGGGACTGAAGACTGGTTTGGAATCAGTGAAACCTGCTTCATCTAACACCTCTAAAGCATACTTCCTTTGAGAAAGTGCAATTCCCTTTTTCTGTCTAGCTACCTCCAGGCCTAGAAAGTACTTCAAAGGGCCAAGATCTTTGATTTGAAATTGATCATTGAGCTGCTTTTTGACCTGCTGAATCAGATTCAAATCACTACTAGCCACTACTATATCATCCACATAAACTAGTAGGGCTATAAAAGATGAATCCTCCCCTTTTGTAAACAAGGAGTTGTCAGGAATAGATTGTGTAAATCCCATATTTTGCAGAGCAAAGCATAATTTGGTGTTCCACTGTCTGCTTGCCTGTTTCAGGCCATATAATGACTTGATCAACCTGCAAACCTGACCACTTTTTCCTTCTGTGTACCCAGAAGGAAGTTCCATGTAAACTTCTTCCTCTAAATCCCCATGGAGAAAAGCATTGTTCACATCTAGTTGGTGTAGATGCCAGTCTTTTGCTGCTGCAACAGCTAGAAGAAGTCTAATAGTGGTCATCTTGGCAACAGGGCTGAATGTATCTAGGTAATCAACACCAAAGGTCTGTGTGTAGCCTTTTGCCACAAGCCTTGCCTTATACCTTTCAATAGTGCCATCTGCTTTGTGCTTTATTTTGTATACCCATTTGCATCCAACTGTTTTCTTAGAAGGTGGTAGGTCTACCAGTTCCCAGGTGTTGTTGTTCTTTAAAGCAGTGATCTCATCTGCCATGGCTTTCTTCTAGTGATCATTTTGCACTGCTTCCTTGTAACTTCTAGGCTCAGTGTGGCAGGTGAGATTCATAACAAAGGATTGAAAGGAGGGTGATAGTTTAGTATAGCTTATCACCCTGGAAATGTCATGGGGTGAGGTCTTCAGTATAGAATTATGACACACATATTCTTCCAGGTAAGCAGGTGTGGTTTTCTGCCTGGTGGATCTCCTGACCACTGGTTGTTGAGGTTGTTCTGGAGAGTCATGCATTTCCTCAACTGACTCAGGAGTGTTACTTAGGGATGAACCACCTGATTGCTGGGAACTAGGAGCATCATGAGCACTGTCTGACTGATGACTGAAATGAGGGTTCACCTGGGAATCAAAACCCTCCTGGGGATTATCCTGAGAGCCATTAGGAAATCCTGAAGGTGCATAGGAGTTATCTTGAGGATCAACAAGGGAACCAATTGCTGTGTCAACTGGAAGAATGACTTCAGGTGGCTGTGTCTCAGGGGTGTCACTGCTTTGGAAGGGAAAAATTGTTTCATAAAAGAAAACATCCCTGGACAAAAAAACATCTTTTGATATGAGATCATATAATTTATAGCCTTTTGTTCCACTAGCATAACCAAGGAAAATACACTTCCTTGCTCTAGCATCAAACTTGGACTTTGGACCCAATGCAGTAGCAAAAGCTAGACAACCAAAAACTCTTAAGTCTTGATAGGTTGGAATCTTCTGAAGAAGAAGCTTATATGGTATCTGTTGGTTAATGGCAGCAGAAGGTAGCCTATTTATGATATAAGCTGCATGCAGTATGCACTCTCCCCAAAACTTCTCAGGTAAATGAGCTTGAAACCTGAGTGCTCTTGCAATAGACAAGAGATGGCCATGTTTTCTTTCCACTCTACTGTTCTGTTGTGGAGTGTATGTACAGGAAGTCTGGTGTAGTATCCCTTCTTGATCAAAGAAATCAGACATGTTAAATTCAAGGCCATTATCTGTCCTAATGCTCTTGATATGTGATCCAAACTGATTCTTGACCATCTTGCAGAATCTTGAGACCAGACTTCTAACCTCTGATTTGTTTTTCATTAGGTGCACCCAAACAGCCCTACTGTAATCCTCTACCATAGTAAGAAAATAATGATGACCATGAATGGATGCTACCATATAAGGACCCCAAATATCCATGTGTAGTAATTCAAAGCAGGCTGTTGAAGTAGAATTACTGGACTGGAATGGGAGTCTTTTTTGTTTAGCAAAATGACAACAATCACAAATCAAACTTTTATTTGCTAGAATTGTTGGATCTACATTGTGTAACAACTGAATTTTTGAGTATGAAGCATGTCCCAGTCTAGCATGCCACAAAGTACACTTATTCAAAACTGAAACAGTACTATTTACAGAGGGATTAGCAGGAAGAATCAAATGGTAAAGTCCATTCTGGAGTTCAGCCACTCCAATCATCTTGCCATGGTTGGGACCCTGTATTATACACTGATTAGTGTGGAAACTCATTGTGCAACTAGAGCTCTTAACAAGAGCCCCCACAGATATTAAATTATACTGAAAACCAGGAACATAGAGCACATTGTGCAGAATGAAATCTTTAGATAGATGCATGATGCGTAGTATATTTGCAAACAAATAATTCTCGGAGTACGAGTTATCGATCCACAGGGAAGTGGTTGTATCAAGCACTAGTTACTAACTTATTCATTAGAGCTAATCCTAACAATTACTTAGATGATTGATTGACATAAAATAAATAAAATAAAACAGAGGTTCAGGATTTTGAAAACAATTAGAGAGAAGTTGAGATTCATGGGATTCAAGTATTTAATCACCTAGTGCCAATTATCGTTTGCAATATTTAGTTTGGAATTAAGATTTGTATGGGAATGCAAAGTGGAATCGAATTACTCCCGTAATCTCTATTCCTAGTGAATTTCCACTCCCATGGCTTAAACACCCAATAAGATCAAAGATCAACATTTAATTATTCCTAATTACTACCATCTCCCGATGAGCAATAATCTAGAATAAACTTCCCCTAATAAGTTCCCCTTTCCCAAGGACCAACCATTAAGTGCAATCGTGTGTACCCTAATTTATGCCCCAACTCCCATTGGTGACACAAACATGGCTATGAAGCTAGTAACTATGGCCATTAATTACAAGCATCAAACAATATTATCGCGATTGCAACACAAGTATTAAACCCAAATAATAATATATTAAAGAAACTGAGAGCTCAGGCACATAGGTTCATAAACACTTTTACCCAAGAATCTCTAAAGAATTTAGCCAAGCATGACTAAATCATACATAGCAAATATAAATAAAGAATTACAAATCATCAAAAGAGTAC